CTGAGCTGAGCTCTGCATTAGCCTGGCAGGGGTCCCAGCCCCGCTGGACTGTGGCCCATGGCCCACCTCGGAGCACATTCCCCAGCCCCAGGCAGCCCCCAGCCCTCGTGTTGAGAGCAAGCTCCATATTTTGGCAAAGCTCCTCAGCATTCATTTGATTCCTTTAAAGACCTTGAACTTTATTAAACAAATATCAGATGAAGGGTGGGGCCTGCGCGATCAGCCAGTGCCGCTCGCCTTGTGTCACGGATGGGAAGCCGAGGCTGGTAGGAAGGACAGCTGGAGAGCAGAGCGGGGGCCGATGCTGTCCAAGCCCCAGCAGAACCTTCCTTCTCACACCCGAGACCAACGCCCCACACTGGGGATCGAGCCGCAACCTCGGCATGTGCCCTGACTGGGATTCAACCGTGACCCTCTTGGTTCCTGGGTCGATGCTCAACCGCTGAGCAACACCAGCGGGCTTTTTTTTTCCTTTTGAGAGACAGTGAAAGGGAAGGGGAGTGATACACAGAGAGGGGTGCTCCTGGGTGAGTGTCCCCAATAGAGGCACCACTTGACTGTTCAATCGTGGGCCCAAGGAGCCTCCGCCCAAGAGCTTTGCTCACCTGGCAAAGGTTTTTTAAAAATCAAGAATGCTTGCCCTGGCTGGTTAGGCTCAGTGGATAGAGCATCGCCTATGGACTGAAGGGTCCCAGGTTCGATTCTGGCCAAGGGCACATGCCTGGGTTGCAGGCTCGATCCCCAGTGTGGGGGTGTGCAGGAGGCAGCCAATGAATGATTCTCTCTCATCATTGATGTTTCTATCTCCCTCTCACTTCATCTCTGAAGTCAAAAAAAATATTTAAAAAAAAATCAAGAATGTTTGCCCTGGCTGGTTTGGCTCAGTGGATAAATCATCAGCCTGTGGACTGAAGGGACTGAAGGGTCCCGGGTTCGATTCCCGTCAGGGGTACGTATATTGGTTACAGGATCATCCCCAGCCCTGGACAGGGTGCGTGCAGGAGGCAACCAATCGATGTATCTCCCTCACATCAATGTTTCTCTGTGTGTCATTCCCCCTCCCTTTCACTGTCTCTAAAAAAACTAAAAAAAACAAAAACAAAAACCCGGCTGGTGTGGCTCAGTGGTTGAGCATCGGCCCAGGAACTAAGGGGGTCACGGTTGATTCCCAGTCAGGGCACATGCCTAGGTTGTGGGCTCGATCCCCAATGCGGGGTGTGCAGGAGGCAGCAGATTGATGATTCTCTCATCATTGATGCTTCTCTCTCGCCCTCTCCTTTCCTCTGAAATCAATAAAAACAATATATATTTTTTAAAATCAAGGATGCTTGAAGTTCTTATCCAGTAAGATTAGAGACAGAGAACACTGGAAGTGCGTGTGAAATGCTTAAGGTCGAGAGCTGAGGGCAGGGTCTGGAGTCCCTATGTCTCCTGACTCCATTCTCCTTACAGTTTTACGCCCAGAAAGTCTAACCCCGGTGAAGCTGCAGAATCCCCAACCAGATCCCTCCCCCTCTGCTGCTCTCTCTTTTCCGATCCTGTTACCCATTCTCCTCCTCCATAAAGCCCTCCTGATTGCAAACCCTTGGTTGCGTTTTCCTCTTCCTCCCTGCACTGAACACGCCCTCCAACTATTTTAAGTCAGTCCTGGGTGTGTCTCCTCCTCCATCAGACCGGGGGCTGGACCTCTGTGTCTTCCCTCTGAACTGCCATTTCCCAGCCCTCACACATCTTCCCCT